CCTTGAATGCATCTCATCCAGTTCTGGTGCCTTGCCAACTTTATGTACTGAGTCTGCCCAACAAGTCTCCCTTATCAATTGAGAAGTCTTCTGGAGTCAGAATTTTCTCCTCTGTCACAATGTCCTATGTAGCTTCTGTTCTCCAGTAAAGACAGATGCAAAGTATTAATTTAATACCTTTAATGGCTTTTGAGTAACTGGTGCCTCAACATTGTGTATATCAGCACGGGAGAGGTTGTTGTTATTGGTCAATCATTCTTGCCATGGATTTAGAAAATTTTGCAAAAGCGTTGCCAGTGATGCCTTAAGGTACCTCTTGAAGGCTTGAAAGTGGAGTTGACACATTAGAGGATATGCAAAAGTTGTCGTTGTTAGTTTCCAGGATCTTGCCATTCATTTCAAACTGACAGTGAGGGGGAAGGTGGGAATGGCCTATGAAAGCTGGTTAGAAGACAACCTTTGTTTCAGGGTGGTTAGCAAAAGACACAAAAACAAAGTTGCTGGAAAAGCTCAGCAGGCCTGGCAGCATCTGTGAAGAAAACATCAGAGTTAACTTTTTGGGTCTGGTGACCCTTCCTAATTTTTTTTCCATGCCATTTCTGAACGAGTGTGCTAATAAGCACTTTCTGCATACAGAAGCTTAAATGACTGAAGTTGGGCAGATAGTCATTCTGAATTGAAGGTGATGTAGCTTGAACAGCCAGTTCTGGTGGGGTTAGTGGCACAAAAGGATTGTCAACAAGCTTGACAAATAGTTGAATTGCTTGATTTCTTTGAAGTCTGTCTCACTTAGCACAATGATAGCACCACATACCACAATTTAATGTGGAAATGAAGTTCTGCCTTCACAAGGACTGTGGGTGGTCTCTTTTACCAAAACAGTCATAGACAGATGTATCTATGGCAGTCAAATTTGTGAGGATGAGGTAGAGTACACTTTTCTCCCACATGTTGCAAACCCAATCTAGCAGCAATTTCCTTTGACCTGGTCAGGTCCAAATCAGCAGTGCTGCTGCCGAGCCACTCTTGATGGTGATCGTTGAAATCCCTATCCGGAGTACATTCTGCACACTGCCACCCTTAGTGCTTCTTTCAAGTAGTGTTTAATATTGAGGAGCACTGGATCATCTGCCATCAGCAGGTTTCCTAGCCCACATTTGATGTGGTGGAGTGAGAATTCATGGTGCCCGCAGTCAATGTGGAAAACTCCAGGCAACTTCCTCACAACTGCATACTATTGCATTCCCCACTCCTATCTTCACATCGCAACTGCCTCCGTAAGACCAAAAGATAAAGGAGAATTAGACCATTTGGTGCAAAGAGTCTGGTCTGCTATCTGATCATAGCTGATATATTTATCAACCCCTTTCTCCTGCATTCTACTCATAACCTTTGATTCCCTTACTATTCAAGAACCTAACCATTTGTATTAAGTATACTCAATGACTTGGCCTCCACAACCTTCTGCAGCAATGAGTTCTTCAGACTCACCATTTTCTCACTGAAGAAATTCCTCCTCATTTCAGTTCTAAAGGGTCGTTCCTTCACTCTGAGGCTGTGCCCTTCGGTCCTAGTCTCTCCTACTAGTGGAAACATCTTCTCCATGTCCAGTCTATCCAGGCATCTCAATGTTCTGTACGTTTCAATTGGATCTCCCTTCTAAATTGCATCAAGTACAAGTCTAGAGTCCTCAACTACTCCTCATATGACAAGTAATTCATCTTATGGATCATTCTTGTAAACCTCTTCTGGACCCCTCCAATGCTAGCACGTTCTTCTTTAGATCAGGGAACCAAAACTGTTCAAAATATTCCAAATGCGGTCGGACCAGAGCATTATACAGCCTCAGCATACATTTCTGCTCTTATTTTCTAGCCCTCATGAAATGAATGCTACCATTTCATTTGTCTTCTGAACGGCCAACTGAACCTGCATGTTCATTTTGAGAATCCTGAACAAGGACTCCCAAGTTCCTTTGTGCTTCAGCTTTCTGAAGTTTTTCCCTATTTAGAAAATAGTCTACATCTCTATTCTTCATATCAAAAGTGTATAATTTCACACACTCACACTGTATTTCATCTGCCATTTCTTTGCCCACTCTCCTAGCCTGTCCATGTCCTTCTGTTGCCTTCCTGTCTCCTCAAAACTCTGTTTCTCCACCTCTTATGTCAGCTGTAAAGTTAACAACAATGCTCTCAGTTCCTTCATGAAGGTCATTAATGTATAACATGAATAGCCGTGGTCTCAACACTGACCCCTGCGGAATTCCACCAGTCACCGACTGCCAACCTGAAAAATACCCCTTTTCTCCTTACTCTTTGCCTTCAGCCAGTCAGCTAATCCTCTATCCATGTCAGTATCCTGCCCCTAACGTCATGACACTTACCTTCTTTAACAGCTCCTGTGCAGCACCTTGACAAAGGTCTTCTGGAAATCCAAATACATCACGTCCACTGGCTCTCCTTTGTCTAACTTGCTCATTACTTCCTCAAACATTTCTAACAGATTTGTCAGGCTTGACCTCCCCTTGACAAAGCCATGCTGATTCAGCTTTATTTTGCTATTCACTTTCAAGTACTCAGCAATCCCAACCTTAATAATGGACTGTAACATCTCACCAGCGACTGAGGTCAGGCTAACCAGCCTATAATTTCTCATCTTCTGCCTCCCTACCTTCTTAAACAGGGGCATATTACATTATCCATTTCCCAGTCCTCTGGGGCCCTCTGTGACTCCAGCAAATCTGGAAGATCACCACCGATGCCCCTACAATCTCCTCTGCTATATCCTTCAGAAACCTGAGGTATAGTCCATTCAGTTCAGGTGATTTATCCACCTTCAGACTTTTCTACTTCCCCAACACCTTCTCTTCAGTTATGCTGACTACACTCACCTTTGTGACAGACTCTCGAAGTTCTGGTGTGCTACTAGTACCTTCCACCATGAAGATTGATGCAAAGGGGTTATTCATTTCCTCTGCTATCTCTTTATTCCCCGTTACTACTTCTCCATTATTACTACTACTACTTGATTCTGAAGAAGGGTCAATGGATCTGAGAAATTAGCTCTGCTTTGTCTCCACAGATGTTGCCAGACCTGCTGAGTTTTGCCAGCAATTTCTGATTTTGATTTTGATTTCCAGCATCCGTTGTTCTTTGGTTTTTGTTTAGCGTTTAACTCACTCTCACACCTCTTCTAAGTATTCCTACCTTGAAGTTCTGCTTCTCTCTCCGACAGGATTTTCTTTCTAAAATTGTTCATTGTCATTACTTTCATTGTCACTCCTGGTGCTTGACAAGGTATTTGCAAAAATTCGCTTATACAGCCAAAACTCATTGTCAGTCTCTGCCTTCTGCTCTGACTCACCTCACGAGTTTCATCCTTCGTGTCTTGAATCCACCCAGGATCACAGATATCTCTATGAACTGTTCTCACCGCATCCCAAGATCCACACTCATTACCATGCATCACCGTATGCGTCACCGCATGTACACTCTCAACTCCTCTCTCCATCAACATTGCCTCATGCTGGCTCAAAGCAGCATTGCTTCCCAGTTTCATTCATTATCTGGCTCATTCAACATTCAATAAGATACTTTCTCTTTTCCTTTCAGGTATTAATTAACACAAGATGCAACTTCGGGATACCTACGCCTTTCCAGAACCTTCCAACCCTCTCCCAAACCCACCTCCTGTTGTGTATTTACTGTCCCTTCTGACTTTCCACTCTCTGATGCTGAATGTTCTAGTTTTAGTTTTATCCATGTGCGCCCCCACCTTAATGAATTCCAGGCACGCAATCTCGCTGAACTCTTCGCTACCTTCACATCCAAGCCCAATTCTTTGGACAAGAGTGCTTTCCCCATCCGAAAGATCCCTTCAACTGCCTCCAACACTTTCTCTCCACCTGGACCCCTCCCTTTGGCCTTTTACACGCACTTGACCTGTTTGTTGAGGACTGTCAATAAAACATTGGTCACCTCAATTTCTCTGCCCTATTACCCATTCCAACCTACCTCCTGCTGAACTGACTGCACTCTGTACTGAAATATAAAAAGGGTTCTGAAGAAGGGTCACTGGAGCCAAAACGTTAACTCTATTTTCTCTCCACCAATGCTGCCAGACTTGCTGAGTTTTT